TGCTTCTTTCTCTCCATGTTTCAGTTTCAAATGTTCTTGTTACTGTTGTATTTTAATTTCTGTAGTCCCTTTCATTGTTTGAATGTTGCTATTTTTTTCTTAATTGAAATCTTTTTTTTTTATCTTTTCTCATTCTAGACTCTTGCGATTTTAACTACATGCTTTTTTTTTTCTGGTTTGACCTTATTTTTTGCCATGAAGTCCTTTATTTATGTTTGTTTGCCTTGGTCTCTAGCTTTATATTAGGAATTTTGCTTTCAAATGGGTGATCTCATTGACTATCACTGTATTCCTAGAAGGGAGGCAGACATTAGGCTGATTGTTGTAAAGCCGTATACACTAGAAGTAGATAGGGCTTTTCAGGAGGAGATTCATTGTTTAGAAAATCTGATCGGGGCAGGGCAGACTTGAGGGTGGAGATTGAGTACAGAGAGACATTAAATGATTCACTCTTAATATATTTTCCTCCTGGAGTGTTCAGTTATTCCAGAGAGGACATCATCAGTCTTTTGCCTGTGAGGTTATATTTATGAGCCTGTTGTTCTTATCGCTGACCAGGAGAGTCTCATCATTTAACAGTTGTTCAGTTTCTCATAACCCATAGAAATGGTCAACATGGCATGTCCCACTCTTTCTTGACTCTATTCAGGACATTTGCCTTTCTGCTGCATCTTCTTTCTGGAGAAAAAAAAAAAAAACAAGTTTTGAATGGATGGGAGAGAGGAGAGCATCCAGAAATCTACCTATTCCCAAAACAGAGTTTCAATTGTAACTTCTGATTGCAGCCCCAGGTTCGCTCTCATTTTCAGATGTACCTGTACAATAATTGCTGGGCACTTCTCTTGTTTGGGGACATAGCAAACCTAGGTACCACTATTTGTGTAAATTTCCAACTCTTTGCTTGTTTGAGTCATTTGCCATGTGTCCCTCTGCTATCGGAGTTGCTGGCATCTTGTGTCCATCATCTTATCTTCCATTCATTTTCCTTTGAATTTTTACAGTGTTATATCCTTTTCAGTGGTATCTCAGAGGAAGCTGAGGTAGAACATATGGAAATATCTAGTCTACCTTATTTAATCAAGAGAGTTAGCTTTAATTCTTACCAATTACTGTTTAGAAATACTTCTTTTTTATACTTTTATTTATTCTTCATTTCAATGATACAGTTTTATAGAACTAATTCTTAAATTGATGAGCATATTGAAAATCCTTACATAGAATTTTTATTTTGCTGATGCAGTCAGTAGTCAATAGGAAAAACAAACAACAATATCAAGCAATTCCTTTCTCTTTTTTTTTTCCTCAAAATCAAGTTGTGTGGGTTGTCTTACACAGATAAAAGATAAACAAAGATTCAGTAAGAGTTTTCAAGTGGAGCAAAATAATTCTGGGCTGTGTGCACAAAAATCTTTGATGTCAGCAATTAAAGAAACTCAAAAAAGTAACAAAAGTAGATAATGGAAGTAAAAACCCTGACTCATAGTACCCCACACATACATAACTCTGTCACTTACACCTGACTTACTATTATCCTCCATAGACTCCAAGAGCTATAGCACTTTTTATTACACATTGAAACTTTATTATTCTCGCCTCCTGTTTAGTAGGCTGTCTATTCTATTACAGGGTTTTAATTTTTAGATAGTAAATAAGACACTTTTTTAATATCAGCAGTTGTTGCTTTTCAACCATGTGCTATTTTGTATGAATTCAAGACTACATAGTCATTCATTTTAATGTCAGTGGGCGTGTATAAAATTTGTAGTAAGAAATTTAAAAAAAAGTCATTACATCTAGAAGACACAATAGAGATCTTAATCAATTGTTAACACCATCCAGCTGAATTTTTGCAAAAAGAACCAAACTGGGTGTCTTGATGGCAAATGTTAGTTCTTTTTGTGGTTAGTGACATCAATTAATTGAAAACAATGTAGGAACATGCAGCTGCTTGTTTTAACAAGTAAGTGCAGTGTGGCCTGTGGTAGGTCCCAGTTTGCAAATGTTGCATGTTTTTAAGTCAGATAGAAAACAAGCTTAGGCATGATAGCGAGTTCCAGTGAGTCTCAGAAGAATTTTGTTTGTTTTCTCTACTACAAAGGATTTTCCCACGTATCTAGGAGGAAATAAATACAGATGGACCCATCAATAAAGCATCACATTATCAGTTTTATTCAACATTTAAGTTTGCTCTCTTTCATTTCCATAAATTAACTCAAGTTTACTGATGATATTCAAATATGATGGCATTATTCTGGCTTTTTTTTTTTCTAAACTTCAAACATGTTTTAAAGAATTATCCTGAGCCACCTCAAACTCGACAGATGCGTTAATGAACTCTCAGGTATACAGAAGGCACAGTACTACACTGTAATTTACTGGGCCTCTCATCTATGCAATCACCTCAATTAACAATTCTTACTCATATTCTACTACCAAATGTATTTCATTTATTTTAAAGATTTATTTATTTTTATCAGAAAAGCAGATCTACAGACAAGAAGGGAGACAGAAAAAAAGATTTCCACCCACTGGTTCACTCCCCAAATGGAATCAATGACCCAAGCTGAGTTCATCCAAAGCCAGGAGCCAGGAGCCCCTGCCAGGTCTCCCACACAGGTGCAGGGTGTGTCATCTTGCTCTGCTTTCCCAGGTCATATACAAGGAACTGGATAGAAAGCTGAGCAACCAGGACACAAACCAGCACCCATATGGGATCTTGGCACTTGAAAGGGGAGGAATAGCCAATCAAATTATTGTGCCAGGTGCCAAGAACTGTAAGCAATAAGAGTTTGGACCCAATAAGAGTCCAATAAATGTAGTTAAGTACATGAGTACATCTGTTTTCAATGCTTTCTATTCTTCCTCTGTTTGATGGCTTGGTAAGTTATGCTTGCATTGTTCAAAATCTGTTCCCAAGACAAACTGCCTTCTTTTGCTTTTTAATATAGATTTAAAAAAAATCCCCATTTTTACTTTTAACATAGATCCAGAAACCTTCCACCACTTATGTCTCAACCATCAGCGCCATCTGTATTCCTGAAGCACAGATTTAGTTGGAGTGTGATATTCAATTTTTCCCTTTCATCTATAAACCGATACTTTAACTGATGCTCTTTACTCTGCACAATTGTTGACTCTTTCACTCTGCCCATTTTTCCTGACTAAGCTATTCTGTTCCATTTTTGATCCTACTGTGTGATTTAAGAGCTTCATTCTGTTCATTTTATTAATTCTGCTGCTTTGATATTTCTTCTCCATTTTCTTTACTCTGTGCAAACTCTGTTTTTTACTCTGTTCTTTACTCTCATCCCTTACTCCAAAATTCAAATATCTCCCAAGACACTAATGAGAATTAATTTATCAATTCTCAAAATATTCATGTTGTCTTTTGCTCATGTTTCTTCTCTAATACTCAAGAGAGTCCAGTATTTTAATAGTCTGCTCATGCATCTGTCTCACTTTGAAGTCCTAAAACCCACACCCTCACATTCAGATAGTTCCTGGCCTGTAGTAATGTTATAAGAAGCATTGGGATTCAACAGATAAAGCCATGTGCATATTCTTATTGTATATTATACGTATGTTTCAGGTGCTACAGAAAAAAAAATAACATGGAGACCAGAAAGACTTCAGTGTTAAGAGCCTGTTATATTTTTAGAGTTGTGATTCATAATGTAATATGGACTCAAATTTCATGTGATTGAACAAATGTTCACTGAAAAATACTTTTTAGTACAGGGAGACCCCATACCCCACTCTTGAGCTAGAAGGCTTTATTCTGCTGCCCTCTTTCGCTTCAGTTTTGGACCAGAGCCACAGGGGCAGTCTTTGGGCAGATGGCATTCATTCCTTCATCTGTATTCACTGGGCTTGTTTTTCTCATCTCACCTTCCAGGTGCAGTAAGAACTCTAGTGCTTAACAGGAGATCATGTGCTGCAGTAGGAGGGAGGCATTCCAGCCTGTTCTGGAAGGCTTGCATTTCCTGCCAGTAACCTTGAGGAAACCAGATCCTCTCTGGAATGCTCTGCCCTCTCACCACGGCGTGTTTCCCCTTCTGAAAGTGGGGATTGGATAAGAGGAGAAAGAAGCCAAGTTTTTTATGTCCCCTACACAATTCCAGTGTCCCGTGTATTGGACTCTGTTTTGTCATGCCCCTGTGTGTAGTATGCCAACTCAGTGGCAGTCAGGGTGACAGCCTGCTCTGTCTGCATTTTAATTGTACATGGCAAAGACTCCTGGATAGTTTAGAAAAAGCCACTCTACTGGTTGCTTTCTTTAACAGAAGGTACATTTTATTCAATTAGAAGGGAATAAAGAGAGAGGAAAGGGAGGCTAAATCCCTAGCTCAGTCTCACTCTAGTCTTAGCATGTAAGAAGGTACTAGTTACACTTACCTAGCCACAGGTACGAGGCTCTGATTGAGCCCAAAAAATCTTTTTTATTTTTTATAAGGATTTATTTCTTTTTATTACAAAGTCAGATATACAGAGAGGAGGCAAGACAGAGAAGATCTTCCGTCTGATGATTCACTCCCCAAGTGACCACAATGGTCAGTGCTTCGCCGATCCGAAACCAAGAGCCAGGAACTTCCTCCAGGTTTCCCACATGGGTGCAGGGTTCCAAGGCTTTGGGCTATCTGTAACTGCTTTTCCATGCCACAGGCAGGGAGCTGAATGGGAAGCAGAGCTGCTGGGGTTAGAACCTGTGCCCATATGGGATCCTGGGTGTGTTCAAGGCAAGAACTTTAGCTGGTAGGCCATCATGCTGGGTCCAATGCCAGAGTCTTTTTTAAAAGATTTGAAAAAAGATTTTATGTTTATTTTAAAGTCAGAATTACAGGGAAAGAGAAAGAAGCACAGGTAGAGAGAAAGAGAGATCTCCTATCCTCTTGTTCCCTAATCGAAATGGCCCCTATGGACAGGCTGAAGCCAGAAGTGGGGAACTTTTCCAGATCTTTCACATTGGTACAGGTGTCTAAGAATTTGGGCCACCTTCTGCTGCTTTTCCAGGAGCAGTGGCAGGGAACTCAATTGGAAATAGAGCAACTGGGACTGAAACCATTGTCCATATAGGTTTTTGGCTCCATAAGCCATGGCTTTGCTTACTATGCTACAACACTGGCCTTAGGAATATCTTTTTTTAAAAACTCTTCACTAAAAGCAAAAATTATGAATACATACTAACTAGAGTGAATTCTAAAGATGCAGGTGGAACTGTTTCCAACTTTAACAATCATTTTTATACCCAAGCTATATCTTACTCTTATATGCTAAGATTATTTTAAAATAAACCAAATAAACCAGATACTGTGATATTTCACTCATAAATATTTTTAAGTATGTGTATGGTAATCTTATTGGTGATATTGTCACAGTAATTTACTTTTGATTAATAAGCTTTTCACTTAACGTGGACTATATATTTTACTAACCCCCAAATTAAGAAATATATGGGCCTCCTATATTACACTTTTAAAAGTTCCATGGAGAATGGTATTGTGTGAACTAGTGCTATCCCTGTGATTAATCTATTCTGTACACAGTAACACTCAGGGTGCAGGAACGCCCCTCCTTTGGTCACCTAGTAACTTTTCACTAGTCAACAACAAGCTGAGTAAACCACTATGTCGCAGGAAGGTTCTTGGCTGGCTAACTTGGATCATCTCCTAGATATTAGGGGAAAGAACCATCACCAAATTTGAATTTCTAGACCTCCAGGCTTTGCAGGCATACAACAAACATATCACTTCCAGAGCCTAGGATGGAGACAGAAGACATAGGTTCAAGTAAACTCGGCCAAATCTTGAAGCAGATTTGGAGGCAACACTGGATGCTGAAGCAGGCCCTGCTGGGTGATGGTCTCGGTGAGAAGGCTGCCGGGGCCACTTGGATGGCCACAGTGGTTTTCCTGGGGCAGGAGCTCAGTGGGGCTCTTCACCAGCTGTTGGAGCACACTGCAGGGACCCTGCACTCTACCTGTGAGCAGCTGCGCTTGCTGCATGACAAGGAGGACCAATGTGCCTACAGACAAGGCAAGTTTTTTTTTTTTTGTCTTACTATTTCTTTCAGAGATATTGATTGGAATGATATCTGAGAGAGTCTGTAAGCATGCAAAAAGGTTAGGGTAGAGTTTCTGGTCAAAAGGAACTAATAGTATAACAGGGGAAATGACACAAATGACTTATAAAGCATGGGACATGGAAGCTATTACTATCAGAGACTCATGACTCAAGTGCTGTTGGACTTCAGAGGCAGAGAGATGCCATTGTTAGGGTGGGTAATTGAGAGTTTTGCTAGGACAAATGTGATAGTTAAGCTTAAACAATGGATTGGCTTCATGTAACATGAAGTAGAGAGTTACAAAGTATTATTAGTAAAGTCTGAGACTCAGAGATAGGAAACTAGGACTGGTTTGAAGCAGAAAAAGTGTTTTCCTATATCAGAATAAAATCTTATATCTCTAGAGTTGCTTGAAGTTGGAACTATCTATGAAGGGTAAAAATGCTGACAAGGCTGGAATGTCCTTGGATAGGAATGGGGTATACCACATGCCTCTTTATGGGTGTTGAAAAGTACACTAAAGCAGGAAGAACATGGTAACTAATAAATATAATTTTAAGCATGAGTTCCTCTAGACAAGAATATAACTGACATCATGAAATTCAACTCTAAATAATAGCATCAAGACAAGTGGACAAATTCTATCATGAATCATACTAAGAAATTCAGTCTAGAGGACAAATAATAGACAGCAGGGAAATCTGCCCAACACAGCAAGACCCAGATGTTATTAGTAGAGCACCTAGGTTAGCACCCATGCTCTGAATAGATTTGACCATGGTCCCAGGTGACATAGAAAAAGTACCAATTCAGGATAAACAAGGACTCAGGTATGAACACAGGAGTTCAAAGTAGGGCGGTCTCGGGCAGAATATGATACAAGTTGTCCCAGCTGGAGACCGAAGACAAGTCTAGACTAGTGTAAGTATGATTTGATGATGATTCTAAACACTCTGAGCCATGGGTCTTAAAAAAAATTCCCTAGTTCCCAAGTGAATTCTAAACACAGGAAACGTGTTGAACCTACATGAAGCCATCAGGTGGTAGACTTGTGAGGAAAGGAAAGACGAACAAACGATATATTGGTAAAAATGAGAATAGAGTTAAAGACTCAATCAGAGCAAATCTGGATTAAGGGTTATATTCGAGTGAAGAGGCTTGGCTTGATTCATAGTTCCTCACAAGCTACTACAGATTCTAATCAGAGAATTGGCATCATTAGAGACATTCTTTGAAAGAGTAATTATATGGTTTCTAATGACTATGAATTCAGAAGGAGGACCGGTGCAAATCTAACCCAGTTCTTACAGTAGCCAACTATCTCCTAAAAACAAAATATCTTACATGGGCAGAAAGCTAGCTGTTGTTTCTGCTACCTAGGCCTCATCTGGAGATTCACAGGTGGCATTAGCTTTAACATTTTAAATGAATAATTGATTAGCTATTCTTGAGCGAGAGGCAGAGAAACCATTCTCAAGAAGATGTGATTGAGGATTTTGTCCCTTTCACTTCTTGTCAGGGAGGACTCATGACAACTGTCTTTAAATATTCACAGCATTTTTTTTCATGAATCAGAAGGATTAGATTTACTCACAGCTACTGTATTAAAAAGTACTTATTTTCCAAATCTTAAAAGTGTCAAAAGAATGAGTTGTTTAAATGACAGCTCTTTCAGGTTGTTGGCTTAAATGCCAATAAATGTCTTTGCTGGTTTCTAAGATCATCTCACTATATTTCATTTTGTGCCACTTCAGAAACATAATTTGATTTAGTTTTCTATTTATTCCTTGTGTGTGTGCATCTGTATGCGTGTGTGTGTAGAAATGATTACTTTCATAGACTGCCTGATGAAAATAAAGGAACATTTGGGGAGCACTGCTGTACTTCTAAAGAAAGAAGAGAAAGAGATGTGTAATTTATGCAGCAAGCATGATGAATGTACTCAAGAGCAAACAATGTCCGCCATTCAAGATACCAAAGCAACAGACATTGCTGTAAGAGGGGAACTGAATGCCATAGAAACAGCCACTGTTTCCCCTGCAAATGGAGAGGAAAGCCATTGCACAAACCAGGTCCAATTAAGAAAAAATAAAGCACATATAAGTTTAGAATTAGTAGAAAAAGAAAACAATGCATCATTGAATGGAAATGTAACGGAGCAAGTGTCTGAGAACAAAATGTTCCCAGATAATGCAGAAAATGAGGAGGACAAGCGAACAGAACATATGACTATTGAGGACATAAACGGCAACAGGGAAGAGATTTGTGATGTAATGCAGGCAAAAGAAAGAGAAATTCATGAGACTTCAGAGTGTCCAAGAGAAGAGATTACCACATCCTCAGCAACATGCGATATCTCCAGTGATTCTGTGAAGAGTTTTCCAAATGATTCAGAGAGTCTAAGGCCAAAGAACTACACAATGGAAAAGGAGTAAGTAAATGCAGTGTGAGAAGTGCTTGTTGTGCCTACTTATAAGTGTGTTTCTACAGTTAGTACACATGTGATTCTGTTCAGACTGATATAACAAATTAACACCAGTAGCTTTTAAACATCAGAAATTTATTTCTCACAGTTATCGAGCACAGGAAGATCAAGAATAATCAAAGCCTTCAATGAGATTCTCTAAGAATCCCTGACTTCAAGTATATGAGAAAATCTAAATCACTTTATCAATCAGCCCCTCCAAATGAGGATTCAATAGTTGACCAGAGAAAATGATATTCATACATTATGGTTTTCCTCTTAAACATATTTAGAAGACAATGCAGTATACAAAAAAATTATTGGAAGAATCGCAGATTTTTTTTTTTTTTGCTGTTTTATTGTGTGATAGTTTTATGACATAAGGCAACTTGTTTTATTTCTTAACTTTGTCTTCTTGCCTGTAGAAATGACACAATTCTTCCATGATTTATCTGGTAAAAATCAGTTGAGTAAAAAGAGTCATGGTAAGGCCTAGCTTCCTGCCTCTTTGCAGGTCTTCACACTCAGTTGAAGGATCTTATGTTTGTTTCGCTACCAGAAATCCTCGTTTCCCAACATCCCACCATCTATCACCTTTTGCTCACCCCTTTCTGGGCTAGAACATGCTGCTGCTCCTCCAAATGTCCTAAACCATTTCCAGAATTTATTGTGTTCATCAAGTCATTTTTGTCACCTTGATGTCTTCTATAAAATGAGGAGTTCAGGCTAGGTAAGCTGTGATGTCCCCTCAAGTCAGATAAAATGATGAATTGTACAGAGTATGTTCAATTTAGTTTATATGAATTCCTGTCTCAGCAAAAATGAAAAGGGAAAAATTATAAAAGTAGGCATCATGTTGTTATCCATTTCAGTTGAGAAAAAAACATTAACACTTCACATTCTGGCATGCAGATATGACTCAAAGTATCAGGGAATGAGTCATTGCCTAAACCACTCCCCCTAACACCTCATTTAGGTGTTCCCTGGTTAGTGATTTTCTCTTGGTGGCATTCTGACCAATGGTGTTTGGTCTGCATGTTTGAGAAGATGACTACTCATTGCATTCCCTCAGGATAGGATGCCATCATGTTACATAAGATACAGGCATAAATAAAACCTTGCTCAGAACCTGTTGTTCTCATATAGATGAGCTTCTGGAACAAGCCTAGTGTGCACATGAAGGGAAAGCAAGACCAGCATAAACCACTGCAATTATTTCATCATCTGGATGTGTCTATTTGATGAGAACTCGGGAGAATGGAACTGCTTAAAGGTGTCCTTGCTGTTTGTTCTCATTTAGCTGTTGAGAACCCTATCTTCTACAATAAGAGCTTATTGAGATGGTTTCCAGAGCACAGGGCAGAATCATTCCTGAAGTTAAGCAATGATGAGCCACTCTCTTCCATTAAGCAATGTTTCTCATTTGTTTAATTACTGTTACTATCAACAGAGAATGTTCAAGAATAATGTAGCGGTTGATTTTCTATTCTTTTCAACTTTTAAAGTTCATAATTACAAACAAATGACCCTTCCTGAAATTTTAACATTTTAAACATTTCTACCTTACAGTGAATCTAAAAATAAAAATGGATAAAATCTGGTTATTCCAGACTAAGCATTTGCTATATACAGATTTTAAATATTTCACTTCTATGAAAAGAGAAGTAGCAGAAATATGAGAAACACACGTTGATAGTTTTGATGTAGAGATCTTTTATTGAGCACTCATGCTAACCATTTTATGGTAGGAAATTTAAGTATTTTTGTATTTCATCCAACCTTTATAGTAGTAAGATGTCGAAACTATTTTCAATTTGTACTGGAGAAACTAGCCAGTATTTATTATGTTCAGAAAATATAAGTATTTTTGAGGATTAGTTTCTGTGAAAGGCAGCATCAGAGAGAGAGAGAGAGAGAAAGAGAGAGAGAGAAGGCTTATATCTACTGGTTTACTTCCCAAGCAGTTGCAACAGCCAGGTATAGGCAAAGCTGAAACCAAGAGCCAGAAGCGTTCTCTGGTCTCCCACACTTGCCATCTTCTATTGCCTTCTCAGGGACATCAGCAGGAAAGTTTATCAGAAACAGGGCAGCTGGGATTCAAGTGGGTATTCTGCCAGCGAATGCCAGTGTTAGAAGCAGCTTCTGCTTGGGTGTTTGGGGTTTCTTTTTCTTTAAAAAAATTTTTTGTCATAATACTATTCCTTACGCTCAGGGATTTGCCTCTTCCCACTGTTTTCCCCTATGTTATAACAATGGGAAGTACTTTAACAACAGTCAGAGTTAAGTGTATCCTTACACTGCAGGTGTAGACAATGGTATAAAGTCCAGCATTCTATCGTCAAGACATATGTAACAATTTCATTGGGTTTTTGTATCAAAGTAGATGGTATTAATTATTACTTCTAAAACTTATCCCCTGAAGGTCTTTAGCAAGTCACATTTTGGGCTCTTAGTTTTGTTATTTGAGATATGGTGAAAACAGTGGCACCTGCTTGATATGATAACTGTGATGATTAAAGGAAATTTGCATAGCCTAATCCCTGGTCTATAGAGAGCACTAAAAAAATTAGCTATTTTAACAGTACTTGTTAATATCTAAGTCCAAATAAATAATAACTACTCTGAAGTTTGAGTTCAAATATATATATAATTTTAAGATGTTCACCAAAGTGACAGCTAAAAAGCAAAATTAAAATGAATGTCAAGTAAGCCTCCAGATTACTTCTTTGAATATTGTAAATGATCTGTTCTCAATTACAAAGATTAATCATAATTTTGCCATGATTTGTAACATTCCTAGCTGCTCTAAAAAGTTTCATAAACAGCCGTATATGATACAGAAATCAAACAATCCCAATCCCTCCTGTATGATTGCTCTTTGTCACAAATAGGGAACTGGTAAGGTATGAGTGCTTGTTTGTAAAGAGATTTAAGCAACATTCAGATTCTTATTGTAGAGTGAATAAAGCTAAAAAGCCAATGACTTAAGTAATAATGACAGCAACAATAGTAACCGTAATAACTCTAGCTACCATACAGTGTGTCATCTATTTACCAGGCATAAGCCTCTATAATTATGTAATATATAATAGCACATTTTATTTGCCCCTACTTTCCTAGGAAGTAGCTATTATCACCATTTTTCAGTTTAAGAAACTAAGGCACAAAGAAAATGAATGTGTTGTTCAGGGTCACAGGGTCAATAAATGAGAGACATCAGGTTTGAATCAAGACAGTATATTTCAAGGATCTATGACTTTTTGCATTTATCTATGGAGTACATAAACCAAATGACTGTGAAAATGATATTCTCCTTTTCTCTCCAGGTATCGGGATGTAGTAACTGATGAGATTGATGCACAAGTGTCTTGTTACATTACAGCACCATCAGATGTTCTACAATATCTAGCATGCCGAATAATTAATAAAATGAGTTCTTTAATAGTGGGTGATAATGAAGAGTTGGTTAGCAATGTCATCACTGTTGAGTGTACAGACAAAGAAATGAAAATTCCGTTTCCAATATGCATCGCAATTCCATTTACGGCACGTTACAGGGGGAATTACAGAGATATAATGGTAAAAGTGTCAGATATAAACCTTCAATCAAGTTACCTAACCCCAAATTCACTGGAAGGAATAAGAGGAAGTTTTAAGGTGGGTCAACCTTTCCTTTTCTTTTTTAAAATTTTTAATTAGAAAAGCACATTTACAGAGAGAAGCAGAGACAGAAAGATCACCTATCTGCTGGTTCTTCAAATGGCTGCAGTAGCCAGAGCTGAGCCAATCTAAAGTGAGGAGCCAGTAGCTTCTTCCAGGTATTCCAACATGGGTGAAGGATCCCAGACTCTGGGCCATCCTCCATGGCTTTCCCAGCACAAGCAGGGAGCTAGATGGGAAGTGGACCACCTGGGAGATGAACTGGCACCCATTTGAGATCCCTGTAAGTGCAGGGAAGGATTAGCCAGTGAGCCATTGTGCCAGTAGGTCAATATTTGGTTACATCCAAATTCGTAGTTTGACTCCTCTTCAGCTCCCTGCTTGTGGCCTGGGAAAGCAGTAAAGGATGACCCAGAGCCTTGGAACCCTGCACCTGCGTGGGAGACTCAGAAGAAGTTTTATGTTCTTAGCCTCAGATTGGCTCATTTCCAGTCATTGCGGCAGCTTGGGGAGTAAATCAACAGATGAAAGATCTTCCTTTCTGTCTCGCCTCATCTTCGTATATCTGACTCTGCAATAAAAATAAATAAATATTTTAAAAAAGAATTAAATTGACTACACACTTAAGAAGATGAAAGTAACACATAGTTGTTAGTTATAATTTCTCATGGTAGAAAATTATAATTTTCTGTGGGAATAAACACATGCTGTTATATCCTGAAAATAAGCCCAGTGTTAAATGCACACTTTAGAGTGAATGAGAGCTAACACTAATGTTATTTTCAAAAAATAAAGTACTTATCTTTTTTATGTTTACCTAGATTGTCCTTATTTGATGAACAGGCAAAGACTATATGGTAAAACAAGACTTTCATACAATAAAATCCTTATAATATATCTTTTCCTTTTCTCATTTTGATCTTTTCTGATTTATAAAGTTATATAGATGCATATTAACTCTAAGCCAATTCTACTGTCTTGATACAATTTATTCAACTAATGTTTCATACATTGTCTAAAGAGCGTATATCAGTACATTCAACATTGATTAGACTTCTACTACTACACATGCTTTCCATTAAATAAAAATTTCAGAAAGTATATTACCAAAGCAGAAGAATTTTCCCAGTGATGAATTTGCACAGTGGTATTATGACATCCCTTCCTTACTCAGAGTTAAAGTGATGGTTTATTTTCCACTGTGATTGTTTCTGAAATTGTGTACCTGTGTGATTATCTACTCATGCTGGGGTGGAGACCAGCTAGTGTCTGGGAAAGCATGAATAGACAAAATTACTTCTAAATCAGCCTCCTTAGTTTAAGCTTGGTGATTATATATGTTTGCTTTTGGATGGTTTTAAAAAGCTTGAATATAGACTTGTTAGTTTCATTACAAATTTCAATATGTTATAAAAAAGAAATGTGAATGTGTTTCTTTGCAGTCATCTGTATTCACTGCACCGACAAGAGAAAAAAAGAAAATGACTTTCTTTTGGCACCTTAAAGATTATGAAGGAAGAATTTACCACAAGTACAAGTATTACAACATTTTAATAAACTACTCAAATAATTAAATTCTATTGCTTGGAATTTGCCAACACAATGTTTAATGTTTTACATAAAGGTCAATATTTAAACTCCATTGTAGCTAAGGAAGGTCTGGATCTCAGAAACAACACTTATGAAAACACTAAATATAGTTTTCTACTATACATTTTTGGAAGGGGAAGAGATTTGAGTTTTAAAATATATACTTTATGTATTATCTAGTCCCAATCTGAGAAATTCTTACTTAGCTGCTTCCATGTCATTCTTTAAAGGATTGTCCATGTTAGGATGATTGAATCATTAGTTCAAGTTTTGTGCGATTATATGAACAATATCTAGACTTTCTTTGCCACAGGTCAGAACGAGTGCAGCTTGTATTACTTCACAGCAGAGAGCTGTTGCTTGTCTTCATATCCTTCCATCCTTACAGGGCACCTGTGCTGCTGTGAAAGTTTACAAATTGGGAATCTTTTCAGTGGTGTCTTGCTTAGAGAAAGAATCTTTTACAATCACAAAGAAAGGCTTTACTCTTAAGTCCAGCCTGGATTCTCGAATATCCTTAAACTACCCTCCTGGAGTTTTCAGCTCAACTGTGCTTGCACAATTAAAGGTAAATATTAAAAATGTTGAGCTCCTTCTGATTAATTCAGTGGGTCAGTAGGCATGGCCCTCCAAAGTGAAGAGGGTACAAATATTTAAAATCACAACATGCTGATTCCTTTGTACTTTTAATAAACTAAAATATAGTGCTATCAGTGATAAAGTCATTGTTTTCATTTCATTCCCAAATAAATTTTTACCCAAGTTCAAAGTCTTTCCTGATGCTAGGCTAGTGTTGTAGCAATCTTAGCAAAGTCACTTGCCTGTGACTCAGGCATCTTAAATATGTGCCAGTTTGAGTCCTGGCAGGTCTGCCTCTGATCCAGCTCCATGCCATCAGCCTGGGAAAAGCAGTAGAAGATGGCCCAAATATTTGGGCCACTGATATTCTTTTGGGAGAACTTGATGAAGCACCTGGCTTCTGGATTTGGCCTGGCTCACTCTGGCCTTTGCAACCATCTGCAGGTTAAACTAGTAGATGGAGGATCTCTTTCTCTTTCTGTAATTGTGGTTTTCAAAGAATTAAAAACATTTTAAAAAATAAATAAAGTCGTTCTCAGGTAGTGATTTGTGTTGTTTATGACATTTATTAGTAACAAAATGTGGTCAGTATCTATAAAAGAAATGATGAGAGGTTTGCAGATATTCATGTAGCTCAAAGATTTCTGCCTATAAGGATATAAAAAGAGGATAAACAATTGAAAGATCGCTGTGAATATTTGGCTGCTTTTTATTATAAAGCTTAATTTTTTGGAATTAAAGTTTAATACATGCAAATATTCAAATATATAATTGAGATTTATTTTCACGGGAAAAGATTCCCTGTCTTGGGGTCAATGGTGAAACATAGCGTGCTATATCTTGCACCTGCAGTCCCAGCAACCTATATGGGTGCTGATTCAAGTCCCGACCATTCCACTGCCAATCCAACTCTCTGATGGTAACCTGGAAAAGCAGTACAGGACGGCCTAAGTCTTTGGAATCCTGGCGTCCATATGGGAGACCGAGAAGAGGTTCCAGACTCTAAACTTCAGGTCAACTCAGCTCCAACCATTGTAATCATTTGAGGAATAAACCAGTGGATGGATGCTCTAACTATCTCTGTCTCTATATCTTTCTCTAACTAATTTGAATAAAATAATTTTGGGGGCAAGAGAGGGAAGGATTCCTTTTCTAATCTTAGCTGTTCCCTCAACTCATCTCTCCATATAGCGCATCCAATTGATGGCATTAGTAGTGAGGACTAGGAGGAAACATTATGTATATGTTATTACAAATTTCATAAATAACATTTCAAATTTTGCTGGACCTTTTTTGTATTGGTTATTCTTAGAGGAAATACGTATATTATTATTTTCCTATTTTCTAAGGAATACTTGATAGCTCTAATTAGAAAGTATATAAAATATCTATTTATTTTGTAGGTCATTTTGTTGTCTACAACTTATTGTTTCTCCATTTTTTTTAAAGATTTATTTTTATTATTTTTTGATTGGAAAGGCAGATATACAGAGAGGAGAGACAGAGAGGAAGATCTTCCATCCAGTGGTTCACTCCCCAGGCGGCCGCAATGGACGGAGCTGAGCCAATCCGAAGCCAGGAGCCTCCTCCAGGTCTTCCACAGGGGTGCAGGGTTCCAAAGCCTTGGGCCGTCCTCGACTGCTTTTCCAGGCCACAGGCAGGGAACTGGATGGGAAGCGGAGCTGCTGGGATTAGAACCAGCGCCCATATGGGATCCTGGGCGTGCAAGGCGAAGACCTTAACCACAGCACCATCACGCCGGGCCCCGTTTCTCCATTTTTTTATAAGATAGGGAAAGGAACTCAGATTTCAGAGGGACTGGAAAAAAATGGGTTCCTATGCCATAAATCTATTGAAGTCCTGATGATAGTCAATATGTATAAAGAATAAATGAACTGATCTTCTATAATATTTTCAGAAAATTGGCTTTGAAATACCCTGATACTTTGCATGTTTTGCTAATAGAATATCAGCATATACATATTTTTCTTTGTTTAGGTTCAACCAGTTGACCCTTCTCTCCTGGCATATTTAAGAACACAGCATGATACTTCCCACTCAGTACTGGCCACCAGTCCTCTGATTCATATTCAGCACCCATCCACTCATCGTTTTCAGAAGCCAGTCACTGTATTCTTACCCTGTTCTCCACATCCTGACAAAAAGATTCTTTCATCTGAGGTAGAGCATAAAGGAATATCTAGTGTTACAACAAACAGGATCATCCCTTTGTGTTTCAACCGGTAAGATCCTAATGTTGCTAACAGATGCAACTGTAAACAGACTTAAATTTTTAACAGTTTTAACCCAATGCCTTATATATAAACTTCAACAACAACATATTAAGAAGTCATTTAATGATAAGTAAATTATTGTGGATGCAAAAAAGGTAATAATTTCAACCACAGTAGGCTCAAAATTTGTTTTGTACCATAAGATAGATATGAAAAAACTACAATTGATCTGTCCTTTCCAACAATTGATGGTGCAATTCATTACAAAAATATAACATAGTATTTTAATTTCTGTATTTGAAAATGCTCCATTAATGTATGGAAAATATTAACCCGACCTTATACAAAACAAATTATATTTGAATCATACTTGCCATAAGAAGGATTCCTTCTCTCAATTTTTATAGTGAAACAAAACCTGCACCAGTAAGTCATGAATTCATGTTATCAGTCAAAATCAAAATCAGAACAAGCAAAATGCCTGCTATGATAATGATTTTGATCCTAGGTTGTATCCTTTTCTTTAATACTATACTTTTTTTTTCCCAATAGAAAAAGATAGATGGGAAGTTTCCCATTTATTGGTTCTGAAGGGAATTTTTTTCTTTGAAAATTCAGACAACAAAGAAACAGCTTTGGTTGGTTATTCAATTAAAATTATAACAACAATAAATTATGAGGCTATTGTTTGCTACCTTCACTATGTCTATCGTCTCATTCTATCTCTTTTTATCAGTGCGATACCTATTGCTATCAAGTGGTATGATCTTGGTGTAGGCTCACGTATCTCTGTTCATAATTATGGCTGCATCTGGCCATTGCTTCTGAGGTGTGAGGCTGGAAGATTAGAAACTGAAAAGTGGATTATTTGCTCTTTCCTGCCATGTTTACAGTTTACCAAGCTGGCATTAGAACAGTGTTGGATTGTGGGTGGAGGAACAAATCAAGCTTTTACTGTCATTGGAAAAGTAAGAAAACATAGAAATAGCAATATGACACACTGACATATGTTTGGGCTCTCAAATACATTTTAGCAAAATTACATATATATCTTTAAACATATCTTATATGTATCATAATATGGTGAATTAAGATTTATAACCAGAAATATTCTAGCATTTCCAATTGTAAATATAGACTAAGACTTTTATTGTCTCAAAATACCCTTTAAGATTCCAATGCATGATATTTAAAAAAGGGATAGGACATTAAGTAACTCTAAAGCAGTTTATAGCCAAAATGTCCCATGTATTTCTGCTGTGTATAAGGTAGATAGCAAAGAATTCTTAAAAATAACCTGTGAAACCTGTGAATAGCATATACTTTACATGGCAAAATGAAGCAGCTCCATTAGCTTGAAACATAGTGGATAAAAGTGTTCTGCCTCTTATTTTCTGAGTCATATATGCATGTGAAAATGTGAATCTATCTCTGTAATATATAGATACAATTTTTGGTATGATTATTAGGTCAGTATTCCTTTGTTACTCTTGCATATTTCGACATCCCATCGAAACAAAGCAGCAACATACAGAAAGAAATTGAAGACAGAATATCAAATTTTTAGCAATGAAATTCTCATAGAGATACAGGCAGTAAGAACCCTACCAAAAATGTATGCTGGTGGTTTTTCATCATTGTCGTGATACAGTCTGTTCAAAATACAGAAAATCTAGTTAGCATGGGCAGGACACACCATGGTATTAGATGGTGATCTGTACCTTGGTGAGAAAACTTGCTTTGTTTTATATATACATATCTCACATAAGTTTCTTGCATGCCTGGTGTGAACCATTAAGATTGAAGACCCAAGTGTGTTCCATCCAGGGCCTGCCTAATTAGCTGAGGGATTGCCTCTACCACTTCTACAACCTGGGGCAGACATCAAGAAATTATAGACTGATTTGGGGTTCCAAGCCAAACTGATTAATCCTAGCATTGGGAGAATCTTGATGATTTCTCTCCCCATTGCAGAGCTTGCACACAGTACCTCTGTAACTGGTTCAGTACCCAGTAGGAAGGTTTGGCACAGTTGGTCAGTCTTATGTGTCAGCCAATATTACTAGTGGCTGTTGGGTGCAGCATTGGGCAGGGAGTTCACCTTAGCTTCTGACAGTCCATGGCAGACTGAAATTTCATGTTACCCTGAGGCTGCACTGATCTTCATGGACAAGGACTGAGGATTTGATCTAGCACTATCCAGTCCCAGAAAGAAGAGGAGGATTCGAGTGTGACCACAGGCCCAGAAAGAGGCTGGCAGAGCTAAATGATATCATTGTAAGAGCTTTTTCAGCTAATGCAAAACATGAGCCGTAGACTAAGTGAACCAATAGGAGCTTCAACAACAAACTTGGACAAACAAGATAGGGTGCTGTCTAGTCACTGGAATAGCAGAAGTATTCATATGATCAGAAAAAACAAATAGATTGCTTATAATCTCTTGAAGTACAGCTGCAAGTGACAGATTATTTAGTCCTTCAGTGCACAGATGATGCCATAGCAAAAAGTGTCAAGAAGTATCAAAAATCAAAATCGGACCTAAAGGGGAAAATAGGGTGCCAGAAACTGTCTTGGAATTGTGATTCCCAGATGCTTAGAGAGAGATTTCAAAGTAGGTATTTAAAGGAAACTCAAAAACAATCAAGACAACACAAAAATGACTTCATATTTACATCATGTTTGTCATTTATTGTTTATCATTTTATCTACTTGATTAACAAATCAAGTAGAAGAATCCGTGAGCTTCACACAAGCCTGTCTGAAAATATGGAGTTGGAAGAGAAAAAAAAAAAGACTCAAGAGATAACAAAAAGAAAATCAAGAAAGCTTGTGGAAAATTTAAGATAACATGAAAAGAGTAAAATATTCCATTTTGGGGTTTGGAAATCAAGGAGGGCTTGGGGAGGTCAAGGGTGTAGATAGTTATAAAGCTAATATCAGAAAAATTTCCAAAACATGTCACATCTCAAACTAAACCCAACCAAGTCTTCACGTCATAATGAAGACTCCAAAGCTGAAAATGAGAATACTATCCACACAGTGACAGCAAGTAACACATCAGCAAATTATACATAGAGCCCTGGTTCTTCTGATTGTAGACTTTTCAGCAGAAACCTTGCAAACTATATAGAATCAGATAAGGTTTCACAGTATTGATGAATATGATAAATACTTTTTATACAGCACTACCATCCTTCAGAAATAAAAGACATGAAGACATTCCCATATAAACAAAAGCTGAGAGAATGTGTCACCAACAAATTTGTCATAGAAAAAGTGTCAAAGGGAGTTCTTCAAACTGAAAGGGAAAGTTAACAAGTAAGAAGAAAATATCAGAAGGTAGAAAACTCACTGATCAGAGTAACTATATCAATAAATTCAGAATACTACAATACTGTAAACATGTATAAAGAATTTACATTTTATAGTGATAATTAAAAATTATAATCACTGTATCAAAATATTGGGAGACAGTCAATATTGAAAGAGGTAAAATTAAGCCTAAGAAATTTAAATGTAAAGAGGAATGGAGCCCAAATATAGAGACACTCTTCACTCAAATTACATGTATTTTTGTATTTGTTAGTATATTTATCATTTTTAATATAGCTTGTTTAGTTGGAGGGAGCTTTTGTAAGCCTCATGAGAAAGACAAAGTAAGAACCTGTAACAAGGCCTCAATGCAATAGCCTAGTGGCTAAATCCTCGGCTTGCATCCACTGGGATCCTATATGGGTGCAGGTTTGGATCCTTGCTGCTCCACTTCCTATGCAGATCCTCCTTGTGGCCTGGGAAAACAGCAGAGGATGGTCCAAAGCCTTGGGACCTTGCACCGACATGGGGGACCTGGAAGATGCTCTTGGCATCTGTTTTTGGCTCAGCTCAGCTTTGGCCATTGTGAGCACTTGGAGAGTGTACCATTGGATGGAATATCTTTCTTTGAGTATCTCCTTCTTCTCTCTGTAAATCTGCCTTTTCAATAAAATAACTAAATTTTAAATAGAACTTGTAACAGACTACTCAAAAACATTAAACAAGATATCAAGTACACCAATATAGAAAATCGTCCAAGCAAAAGTGAAGATTGCAACAGATGAGTAAGAAAAACTAAAATACAAATATAAAACAAGTATTAATAGGCAGTATTGAGATGCTATTTCCCAATAATTATTTTGAATGTCAATAGGCTAAATTATCCAGTTAAAATTCATAGTTTTTGAATGCATTAAAAATAATCCAATTATATATTGCTTAAAAGAAACCCACTTTGCTTTCAAGGACACATATAGATGGAAACGTATAGTTTGAAACAATATACTCCATGTAGCTTTTCAGCAATGTGATACGGCTGGTTAAGCAGCTTTTTATAACACTACCGTCACATATCACAGTGCCTGTCCAGGAAAAATAGCAGAAGATGGCCCAGTGCTTGGGTCCTTGCTACCCATTTAGGAAACCAGGTGGGAGTTCCTGACTCCTGGCTTCCGCTTGGCCCAGACCTAGTTTGCCAAATACTTTAGGAATAAGCCAAAATATAGAAGACCCTTCTCTGTGTCATTCTGCCTTTTAAATACATAAGCAAAGAAATGTTGTTTAAAATATTTATTATTTATTTATTTATTTTTACTGGAAAGACAGATTTACTAAGAGAAAGAGAGACAGAAAAATACTCTGTTTGCTGGTTTATTCCACAAGTGGCTGTAATGGCAGGAGCTGAGCCAATCTGCAGCCAGGAACCAGGTGCAGGGCCCCATGCCTTTGGGCCATCCTCCATTGCTTTCCCAGGCCACAAATAGGGATTTGCATGGGAAGTGAAACAGCCAGGACACGACCCAGCACCCGTAAGTGATCCTGGTAGTTGCAAAGCAAGATTTAACCACTGGGCAAGTGCAAGTGCAAGTGCACCAGGCCCACAAATAAATATTTTTTTAAAAAATTTTCCATGCAAACAAAATCTAAAAGAAAGCAGGAATAGCCTGAAGCTGGAGGATTAGCCTCTAAGCCACTGT